TGTAACAGACAGCACTCTGTTGCTATTCATAGTTTTCAGTGGCTAGCCATTCAGAAATAGTCAGCCTCTCCTTCTTACTTGCTTATAGTGAGACATTTGAAAGACAGCTACCAGGTCAATCAATTAGAAGAGATTCATGTTTATGCCTATTACAAAGAAATGTGAAACAAAAGAATGCAGATATTAATGTTATTATTATTCATGCAAGTTAAATTTTGCTGAAGATAACTCAAATATGATTGCACCAGTATATGAGTGAGCTTCCAGAAACTCAAATCAGGTTTAGAAGAGGACTTGGAAAAAGGGATATCATAGCTGACATCAGGTGAATATTGGCTGAAAGTAAAGAATACCAGAATGATGATTTTATTGACTGTGGAAAGGTATTCTATTGTGTGGATAATAACAAACTATGGATGATATTGTGAAGAATGGGAATTTCAGAACACATAATTATGGCCGTGAGGAACATGTACATAGACCAAAAGGCAGTCATTCTAAATTAAAAAGGGATATTGCAAGACTTAAACATCAGAAAAGGTGTGTGTCTGTGTTGTATCCTTTCACTATACTTATTCAATCTGTATGCTGAGCAAATAATCTGTGAAACATATTATATGAAGAAGAACGTGGCATCAAGATTAGAGGAAGTCTCCCTTATAGCCTGTGATATGTGGAATAAAAAACCTGGTTTGCTGGAAGCAAAGAGGACTTGAAATACTGATGAAGATCTAAGATTACAGTCTTCAATATGGATTGAACTTCAATGTAAAGAAAAGAAAAATCCTCATAACTACACCAATAAATAACATCATGGTAAACTAAGAAAAGATTGAGGTTGTTAAAGACTTCATTTTACTTGCATCCATAATCAACATTCATGGAACCAGCAATGAGGAAATCAAACAACATATTGTATTAGGCAAGTCTTCTTCAAAAGACCTCTTTAAAGAGCAAAAATGCCCCTTTAAGAGCTCAAGTGTGCCTTCCCCAAATCATGGTATTTTCAACCACTTCATATGCATTTATAAGCTGGATCAGGAAGATCACAGAAAAATCAATGCATTTGAATTATGGTGTATGAGAAGAATATTGAAAATAGAATGGACTGCCAGAAGAATGAACGACTCTGTCTTGGAAGAAGTACTGCCAAAATGCTCCCAAGAACCAAAGATGGCAAGACTTCATCTCCCGTACTTTGGACATGTTCTCAGGAAGACTCAGTCTCTGGAGAAAGATGTTATACTTGGTAAAGTGGAGGGTCAGCAAAAAAGAGAAATTCCCCCCAACAAATTGGATTGATACAATGGCAGCAACAATGGGCTCAATCCTAGCAATTAAAGGCATCTATGGGCATTGAAAGCCCTCTGAGAAATTTCAAGATGGTCCTATTGCACCTATGATACAACTCAAGGTTTTGGTTTTGACCTTTTCTCCTTGTTTTACCCCACCTCACCTCAAGTTCATTCAGGCATTTTTCCTAGAGAGAATCAACTCTTGGCTGGCCAGACCCACTTTGGAAGACACTCTTGTTGCAAGTTCTCCCTGTTGACTCCTCCCCCTTTTTTTATTCGCAATTGAGCAATCCTTCTGTGCAGAAACTTCTGCATACATAGCAGAATCTTCCTTGGGGATATCCACTTGTTCAGGTATCCCCTATGATCTCCAGAATGGAGGTGAGTAGACAGAGGGAAAAAAGAAAGAAAAATGAATACTCACACAATTATCTCTGCTAATCTGTCAGACCTCTGCAGTGGGAGTGCTACCTTGATCCTCTATTCACTCACTCTCATTGAAAGGGTTGCACTGGGACTCATTGGCCACCACAAACCAAAAGCTACCTCCTTTCTTGTTTCTGCCCCAAATCTTACTCCTAGCAAGCACATGATCCCCTTATTTGTCCCTTTATCTGAAGTTAAGAGTTTCAGGACTGTCCTCTGAACCTGTTTCATCCAGTATTCCGTGTTTTACTAGTGGAGGTCTGCACAGACTTTCTGCCTAGTCCACCATCAAGCCCTGCCTCCTTCTTGATAGATTTGAGCTTTGAACTTAAGCATTCTGACTCAAAGAGGCTCCAACTTCGAAGATATCCATTAGAGCTCAGAGTGCTCAGCCAAAAGTGGTACTCAGCAAGTGAAAAATGCAATGAATCAAAGAGGTATGAAGTAAAGAAGACAGATTTTTAGCTGGTCTCAGTGATGCCAGTAAACAAAGAACAAATACTAATATAAATTATTAAACATGTTAAGAATAATTGGAGATGGGTGATGAATTTGGAGATTTTAAGACACTACCATTTTTGAAATTAGTTTAATGATTTTTAAAATTTATTCATCATTTACCAGTTCCAGGCAGTGACTTTTAAGCACTTTACATGTATTTATTTACTCAGTCCTCACTGTAAACCTATGAAGTGCTTGAGCTAAGGAGCATATAGGCTAGATAAAGAACAGAGGGATATACGACTAATGAATTGTCATTGCCCTTAAGTGCCGTAGAGTTGATTCCAAATCATAGCGACCCTGTATAGGGTTTCTAAGGAGCAGCTGGTGAGTTTAAACTGCTGGCCTTGCAGTTTAAACTGGCATTGTGATCCAGGGGTTAGAAAAACAAAATTTCAAGGTAAAACAATCTATCAATAGAGTCTATATGTTCAGCAACCACAGAGACACTGGGGAAAACAATATATAGTCAAATGAGATTGGATATAGTGTTTTGTCAAGGGGCTCTGGGTCCAACTGATACTAGATAACATGAATACTTAGTGA